GTATACATTGACAATGTTCATGTCTATTTAAACCTCATAATTCTCCGGGTTCCAACTTATGAATCCATACTTAGGGAGTTGCCATGGCTTAACCATGCTTAACCCCTACAGGTTGGACGGCTGTGCCACCTAAGCCGCAGGTTGGAGCCGGCAAGTGCAAAATGGGCTGCAGCAGACCGGTCGCCACAGGTGGGCTTGGATGTGTTTTTCATGATGTTCGGATGGTAGTTTGGATGGTAGGTTGTGGATGGTTTGGTTGATTTGCAAGCCCTTCAGTTCGAACGCACTGTGCGGAGTACCAAAGCTTCTGGGGTGTTTATTGCTATTGTTGGATATTGTTGGGGGGGGCTGATGGGAATATCCTCAATATCTCTAAGCAAAAAATATGGGAATTTACAACATGGGGATACTAAGCAACCAAAGTCTTATTGGTGGGTTCAACCCAAACAATGGCGGTCAAAATAGGGAGGTCCTAGGGGTAGACTTGATGCCACCGACAAGAATTTGGGTATCAATCACACCAGCACGCTTGGTTGGTGGTTGAGGAGGTCCTTCAAGTATTCGTTACCTGGACCTTTATGCTCTCATGTAGAGAGGTAGAAAGCAACGAAGCATCAACCACGATACGATCGGAATTAACGAAGGTGACCCCGAACTGAGCGCTGGGATTCCTACAATTCATGGGTTGCGAATGTGCAACAAACCACGAGATTCATGTCGCGTTCACATTTGAAGGAGAAGATGGAGAAGTGTTCGTTGGGAAGCTGGGATTATTACCTTCTTAACCAGCCCTCGGGCTTGGGCAGACTCATCAGGTCGGGACTCCTCGGGTTTGGCGCTGGACACCTGCTGCCCGGGAAGCTCAGCCGGGATGTTGAAATCAGGTCTTGAACATTGGAACGTTGTGTGGCTTACTCAATATCAGTCAATATCATGCGTAACTCATCATGTGCATTTGTGTGCTTATGTTTTATCTCATGTGTTTTCTTCATATTCTTTTTGCTCTTCTTATTGTTATTACATGTTATGACTATTCTCCATCATCATCATCGTCATCATCGTCATCATCATCATCATCATCGTCTTCTTATTATTATTATTATTATTGTTCTGTTTCTTCTTTTTTTCTTCTTCTTCTTTTTCTTCTTTGTTCTTCTTCTTCTTCTTCTTCTTTTTCTTATTCTTATTCTTCTTCTTCTTCTTATTCTTATTCTTATTCTTCGTCGTCTTATTATTATTATTATTCTTGCTCTTCGTGTTCTTCATCATCATCATCATCATCATCGTTCCTAGCATGCCTGAAAATGTGCCAAAAAACACCCACACGGTGCCTCCATTTCCCCCACTTACCACAGGTCGTGGCTGCGCTCGAGGTGAAGGTGGATAAGCTGATGATTCCAAGATATTCCAAGTGGGTGAGTTGCAAAGAACCCTCAACCACCTAGGATTCCCATACATCTAGTGAAAATTAGTGAAAGGTGCATGCCCAATTTTTCTTGAAAGAGCATCACGGGACATCACTTGTGTTGCTGGGCTCCTGAAAGATCTAGAGCCAGACAAAAGATGAACTAATTAAGTAGGAAAAGATTTAACATGTCAAATTGGATTTGCCATATTTTGGATGCGTGTTTGTTTAAAAGATGATTCAGGAGTCCATGCGATTTCCACAGCATTGGTTCAATGGGAACTTTACAGGAACCCCTTCGCTGATGGTATCTAGCAAAGCCACTCATGGATAACGATTTGAGCGGCTCAGAGACATGGGAATGTATACTGAAGTTGCATCGATATCTTTGTACATAATATTATATGTTTATAATACAAGTGCGTATGCACATGCATCCAAATACATGCGCACATGCGTGCATGTATACGTACATGCATAAATACTATGTGTATGTATAAGTAATTATATATATATAAGAATTATTATTACTATTATATATATAATATATTGAATGCAGTTATATGCTGTATGCAGATGTGTGTATGACAAAGGTTAGGGCGCAGCAAAGGCGCTGCAAAGATTGGTCACCTTTTTGGTCCTGACCTTTGGTCGGATCCGACAGGGGATGGCTCTCCGACAGGTCACAACGACTTGTGTGGTCAAGATGTTGGTGAAGTGGCCATCCCGTGCCCCTTGGGTGGTGCAGTGCGAATCACGACCGGTTAGTGATCCAAGGTGTGTTGAGAGGACACAAAGATCTGGAAGAGATTCTACCATATTCTACCAGTCATAGCAGTCACCACAATTCACCACATGCCACCATTGGAGATGTGGCAGATTTGGCTCAAAAAGGATGGATCAGGCTGGACTGCAAAGGGGCAACTGCTGCAGCCTTGGATGCTGGATAGCCGTGCTATTTTCACCATTTGTAGCCCCATGCCTGGTTATATCCCCGGGATAAAGGACACATCCATCCTGAATGGTTAATCCTCATTTTGATTGGCTGCATTGGGAATATCCAGACAGTTGTTGGTGGGTATCTTTATTTTGTCCTGTTTAATTCCTTCATGATGTTAAACACCATTTCTGCAGCAGAATCGGGTTATATCCAAGTCATTTGCGGCTGGTTCGACAGTGTTTATGTACATGTTACATGTATGTGCATGTATATATATATACTGTGTAGGAACCATCAAGAACCACTGTCTACATGTGATTGTATATACATATATATATATATATACGTACATACGTACATACGTACATACGTACATACGTACATACGTACATACGTACATACGTACATACATACATACATACATACATACATACATATATACATATATATGCATGTGTGTGTGTGTGTTTATTTGCATTTTATCATGTTCAATATGTATAAATTTAGAGATATGCACATGGCATCCAAGTGCTGGTCTATCCCTGGAGTCGGGTCACTCGCCTTTCCTAAGGCAGCACCTGCAGGCAGCGCCGAGTCCTCGGCAATTGGCTCTCCAAGGCCGTCGAGAGCTCCAGTGCTTCCGTTTGGAAAGCCATGGTGAGCCCAGGAATGTCCCTTAAATATGATAGTTGATGGGGTATACTTAGATACGTTTAGATATACTTGGGATATACTTAAATATACTCTATTAAATATACTCTATTAGATATACTCTATTAGATATACTTAGATATACTTAGATATAATTACTTAGTGTTTATTTTTACTTGGATTGGTTAGGTTGGTGATGTTTCAGTTTCTATTGGTCAATCCACCAGAAATTTGAGACCTAGGGGATTCTACTGGGAATATCTTGTTTGTTTTCGGGGATGCACTTATGCAAGTCCAAGTTTAAGGGTGCTTAGAGACTAAATCTCTGGTGGTCCAGAAAATATTTGGCGTGGGCCGGACCACCAGCCAGGTTGATCTCGGGAAGTGAAGAGCCTACGGCAATCGAACGTCAAGCTCCAATGGTAGCACCTTCCAACCACATTTGACCCTCATTTCAAATTCGCACCTGACCTGTTTCTTTCCCTTTGGGCATTTTGGGCCCCCACAGATCAGCTTCCAAGTCAACTTTCACCATCTTCACCGCAGGGCGAGTCAGAACCTGTTTTCAGATGCTGTGCGTGCTTGGCACCTTGACTCTTTCTTGGCTCGGGACTTTTGGGTGATGTCACTGGACATCACTGGACTAATGGCTGGATGGTTTAAGGGGAAACATCAGAATGAGAAGGGGTTTAATTAATGTGGTATAATTTATGGGTGATGATTGATGTCACTGGCACTTGGTGGTACTTGGTGCATATTGATACTGGATGGCTGGATGTTTTAAGGGGGACTTGATCAGGAAAATCAGGAAGCAGGGTTTTCACCATTAAAAAATGCGGGGATTCTGTCGGGTTCCTTTCTAGAAATTTAGATTTCAAGTGGTTCTGTGGATGAAAATCCCGAGCTCTCAGCTTGCCAGTTTGTATTACAGTATGGATTATTACGGGGTCATGGATCGAAGGGTGGGGATGTTGTTCTGGTCTGAGGATGAACATGGAGATGACCTTGATGAAAAAGTCGAATCGACAGGCCTTGAGGGGCTCCAAATGTTGTTACACAGAGCCCGCATTTCTCCACGTTTTTCCAGTGATATCATGTGATATCCACTATTATCCACTCAGTTGTCGCCTTCAACCGTTTGTCAGTTTGGGCACGCACCTGGATTTGCAAGACACATGCCAAGTAGAGTTGACCTGCTGCCACCTTTTGGCAAAGTATGGCAAAGTCAAGGGCTGATCAAAGGATCCGCTATGGTAACGATGCCCAGCAGGAGTCAAAAGGTGTGTGTGCGTGTGTAAGTTTTCTTGCGGTTATTGGGTTCAAGTTTGCTCCCAAACTCTCTCTATCGTTGGGTTCAAGTATTCGATTTTGGTTGGCCGTGGCATTCTCAGATGCCCCACCACCATAGCCGAGCACTGGAGGCGCAGATCATGCCACCAACTGGTGGGCCTGCGCTGAACCACCGCAGTGCCTGCAGGAAGTACCACCAGGCAGGAGCTGCCAACAGGAACGGGATGGGGATAAGGTAAAGAAAGTGCAATGGTGCAACCGGATAAGTTGTGCTGCCATGCGTCGCGTTTTCCTGTCGCGCACCGGCAAAAAAAACGGTTTAAATGGTCTAAATATGTAAAATTGCTGTAGGTAAAATGAAGATATGTTCCCAGCGCTAGTTTTTATATGTTTTTATGTGGCGGAGTTATGAAGTTTCTCCCTTTGGAGGCGCAGGATGCCGAACCTGAACCCCCTCTTCACAACAACCCTTGGCCATGAGGCCTTTTAGCCACAGTGCCCTGGCACGATCCATATGGGAGGCTGGCAGACCCATTGGTCCCAAGACACTGGCATCGATGAACCACGTCGATCCACTTGAAGACTTGGATGATCATGGACGATACACAAAAATATGGCTGTCTTCATTTGGCTGATGATCTGTGGGCAACGGGTTTCGCCTCGGGCTCAAGACTTGCAGCCTCAGGGCTTTGGAACTGATTTCAAGCTTTCGCCATGACGTGTAGCACCGCATTTCTAGCCCTGGACTTCGGTGCCGGCTTGACATCACTGAATTGGGTGGCTCAGGCCATCCAAACTCAGTCCAAGGCAGGGGTCGGGAGCTGGAGGATCCAGTTTGTTGGTGGTTTCACTGTTTGTTTTTTGAGGGACAACATGCATCAAGCCTCAAGCCAAGCCTATCAATGGAACTCCCCGTTTTCAACAGATCGCCATTAGATCGCCATGACTGTCCCATTGAATCATCATGAATGGTTTCCGGATCAGATTTTCTCTTTAAAAGCCATTCCAATGAATCATCATGTGTGGTTAGAGAAGAGATATTATATACATAATCATATATATATAATCATATATATATAATCATATATATATAATCATATATATATATAATCATATGTATAGTCACATATATATAATCATATATATAATCATATATGATAATATATAATCCATGTTATATATATATATAAATATATCATGATATCCCCATTATATCATCACTATGTCACCCTTGGAGATGGCCAAGTCATCTCGGCCAGGCTTTGCTCTCCGCGGACGTGGGCTTCGAGGCCACGGCGCCCGAGAGGCTGCACGCGACCTTCGTCTTCCACGGGGAGCTGCTACAGGCCTTGACCAAGCCGCAGCTGGTGGCCCGGCTGACGCGGTTTTTGGGGTGTTTGGAACATGGGAAGATTGGGAAGAGCCACCTTAACATGAACGCGGAGCCCCAATTATGAGCCATGGTCATATAATATATGTTCATTTTGATGGAAAAATATGGAAAAATGATGGAAAACGATGATGAACATTGATGAACCAATATGAACCAGAAGGTTTTGGTGGTATTTTCAGACCCATTGAAGCAGCGTCCAAATCTCTCGCCACATCAGATCCCTGGCCTCCCAAGATCATGACACGCCACCCTGAATTACCCTCCGGTAATCAAATATGGCAGTGGGAAACCCCCTATGAATGGAAAGTTTTAATGGGAGAATCATCTATAAATGGTGGATTTCCCATTGCCATGTTGATTGCCAGAAGGTAATGATGAAGTTCCCCACTCCCCCGCAGAGCACTTGAGGTAGTCTAACCGCAAACTATCTTCTGATCTGCAGGGTTTTTCAGTGGCTGACACGGTGGGCATTTCTTGCTAGCATCCCAAATTGCATATGGATCAAATTGCTGGCCTCAAACCATAGATGGTTAAGTGAGTCCTACTATGAAGCGACAGAAGATATGTAGCTTTAGCTTTGAGTAGCTTGATCTTGTTCCAGACCTCGATGCAATGCCAAGGCACAACTTCACCAAGAGCTCAGTTGCTTGGCAGATTTGCAGTTTTCAAACATGTCGCTGTGGTCACTGAAATTGGAGAGAGTGGATTGTTTTTTTTCAAAGATCAGGCCCAATGGATTTGCATATGTTTGCCTTCGACCCTGTTCGAACTTATCCAGACACTACATGATGGTCAGAAAAGTACGGATTCAGCAAGGACAGCAGTCTGGGCAAAAGACCCGCCCCTTGTTGTTTGGGAAAATGTTTTTCTATTTCTCCGCGGCTTGACAAGGTGATATTGTCAAGGAATCCGACTTGGAGCAATGCGAATTGCCATTCAAGCGGTTTGAGTTTCTCGTGAACAATTGATCAAGTGGGTATGTTTGAAAATGGCATGCGCATATAGATATAATGATATATATATATATACATATATATATATATAATTATGTACATATATATACACGTATATATTTGTGTGTGTGTGCGCGTGCGCGCTTCCCAACTGTCAATTTAAGGGTAAAACAGTGGCTAACTGAGTAACCAGTGGATTTAAGGGTGCCCTATTTTCGGACAAATCAAAGCTGATGTGTGATTGGAAAATCAGCTCAGCAACAATTATAGATTGATTATTTACATATATGATTTACATCCTGTGCCATAGCATTACTTTACTCCACTCTAAAGAGATTATCGAACCGCCGATCAATCCGGCACCAGGCTCTTCCCTCCAGGAAAGCAGAATCTCATCATAGCTCGTTTCGAAGCGCCCAAACTTTTAGTGAAGCTGCGCCGAAGCTTGTGGCGATGCTGCTTGAAACACAACGCATCATTAAAGGCACAAATGGTGAGTTGTGGGAGGTTGAAGATGTTCCGTTTGACTCCTGAGTCGGCCCCAGAATTTGTATCGCCTTGAGCCCTGGCGGGATTCCCTCCAAAAAAAGCTAGAGCTGGACTTTGTCCCAGATACAATCACCACTTGGCAACTTTTGGTGTTGAACTTCCCCGCGTTTTTTCGCGTACTTTTTCCATCTTTGCCGGCCCAGCAGCCCCGGCCCCCCTGAGATTGATGATGAATGGCTACCTCACGTGACTTTGGGGAAGCTGCAGGCCAGCAAGGCTCAACTGGGAGGAGTCACTGTCGCCGCCTTGGAGGAGTTCGCACCTAAGCTGCCCATCATGGTGCAAGGGCTGACGCTGCTGGGCACGAGGCCCAAACAACTTTGGCTTGACTGGGCCACTTGGGCCTTGGGCGATGCTGGGGTGGGATATGTTGGGATTGCGTATGGTTTGCGTCATTTTATACACATATCTACATAGTTCTATATAGATGTATTATATATAATGAATCATAACGATATATCACTTTTTGTTGCATCTATGTTTCTATGAACTTATGCACGAAGTCATTTATGTCTTTTCAATCAGGTTAGCCTCCCTAACTTCACGATGGTCATTAGGTTCCCCATTTTGGGCCATCCCTGCGAAACCATCATACATGGGAATGCAACCTCACCCAACCAGATGCATGGCCTGAGCGTTGGTCTTGTTATTATGTCTTGTTAACTTCTTTGACTCGTCAAGATAGAGATATAATATGCATATCATACATCCAAGTCAACGGCCTCGGGATACCTTGGTCACATGCCTTGCCGGTCATTCCCTCCCCGTCCTTGCTGGTCTTTGAGGAAGAAGCATTTCAATTCCGAGAACCTCAACAGCCTCAACAGCCTCAGCAGCCCGCAGCCAACAGCATTGAGACCAGCGCAGCCTCGTCAACTGCCATGACCATGGCATACACTGCAAGCGATCCAGACGCAATGCAGGTTGCAAGCAGCTGGCCATTGTGGTCCCATGAGCATTCTGTGGAAATGCCTGTGCCTCCTGTGTCATGGGGGCTTGACAAACCTCCAATGCAAATGGGGTATGCCGGGTATGCCTTGCCAAGAATGGAATCGACTTTCCAGTGTTGATGCTGAGCTGTCTGGCCCAAGATCCATAGCTACCAGACATCTACAGTATCTGGACCTGATTCATTTTTGTACAGTTTTTTTGCGCAGCTGCAGTGCTGCAACAAGAATCAATTCGATTCGTTTGCGACTGCATCCTGTACAGAATGCGTGCCAATCCAAAAAGTATGGCCGCCGGTCTGCTCAAGCATGTGTCAAGCAATTCTTGTAGGGTCAAAGTGCCCCAAACCAACAAAACATGGACACGTCTCGTCACAGTTTGCGCAGCTTGTCCACATCGTAGTGACTATCCAGCCACGCCAGCCATGCTCACGGCCAGGCAATTTCTGACGGTTTGCGACCCTGAACACTGCTACTTCAGTGGCCTTGGCACCTCGACTTCGAAGGGTCGGATGGGACTTGGATATGGTGGTGCTTTCAAGGGTGCCCCAGCAGCACGTCTCAACCAAGCTGATGGAAACTGATGGAAACTGGACCTAACAAGCCATGGATCCATGGTTTGCAAAACGTTGATTTCACCATCCCTACTGATCATTGCCAAGTGAGAAAGCAAAGTATACCAGTGTTGACCCCAAACAGACGAAGGACATATCAAGTGCCGAACTCTTGCCCGCCACGTGACCGCGGGTATCCACAGGTGAAAAAACTGAGAAAGAATAAAGGCAATTGGAAAACAAGCAGGAGACCAGGGTAGCCACGGCACAGAGATAAGTGGTAGATATAAGTGAAATTCTCACATGCCAAGAGCAGTAATTACAGAGACACAAGCAGAAGACAAGAAAGAGACAAGTGGGAGACAAAGAAAAGTTGTCCGCCCAAAGGCAACCATAGGAAAGGAACGGAGGCATGATGTTTGGTCGAAGACCATGCAGCATGCGCTGTAACCCAACAGTTCTTCTGAGATGATCTGGAGATGAAGTGGAGATGGAAGCTCACACAGCCATGTCCCAACATAGTGGGCGGGGTAGGAACTGTGAACTACAAAAAATGGGGTGCACGAAACAAAACAGGCAGCTGAAAGTTGGAGACAGACCAACAAGGATTAATCAATCAGATGTCATCTCAGAAAGAACCTGTTTTTCCTTGCGTTACTTTCAGGTGCGGCATTTTTTGCTTGAGTCACTGGCCTGAAGCTGGCAGTTTCTTGCAATCACCAGTTGCACATAACTTTACAACGATTCATGGCCCTATCAATAAATCCCACAAGCATGTTTGAATTGGTAAACGGCCATTTGACAACCATTGCTAGGTTCAAAAGCTTGCTTTCCGATAGATGAATCCCGACTTTGACATGGGGGTGCTCGTTCCAATAGTTGTATGTGTAAGCCTCTGTTTATGTGCGCAAGCCGCAGTCAAATTGCCAGTCCTGGCATGTCCTGGCATGTCCTGGCCATGTCCCCTGCCAGTTTCTCTTGCCTGTGCGCAAATTCTTTGAAGCGGGGGCCGGGGGGTCTCTCCCGCATAGTGCGTGCCACGCCCCTGCATCCGACAAAAAGTCACGGAATCCCCTCAGACTTTGGATGTTTGATGATGGCTTCGAATATGGAAACCCAGAGATCTCACAGATGGACCAAGTGGAAAAGGTATCGGAGTATATCAGAGTCAATATCCAGGGACTCCCAAGTGTCGCTTTTGGAATGTCAGCATTAAACACCTCTGCGCATGAGATGGTCTATATCCGTGTATAAACATATATATATATATTATATATATAAACATATTCAAAATTGCTCTCAACCAATGAGCTGAGTTAGCACAAACCATCGGATTCAAAGCCAGTTCTACTTCCACTTCCGGGTGCCAACCACACCAGTCAAACAGCAAGCCGCGGGGAGACAAGTCATCTGTGGGCTGATTGAAGACAGTGGGAGTTACTGTAAGTGGGAGAATCATGCGGCCCAGAGCATACACAGGGTGGAAGACAAGTGGGAGACAAGCGTAGAATCATCCATCCGGTGCAGAGCACCCACGGCGTACTGGGAGAGTATCGTGAGAGAAAGGCATACAGGCATACAATCATACAGGCATACGCCAACGCAAGCCCGGAGACTGGGACCAGCCGTGCAACCGCAGTGCAACCCTTTCAAAGGAGTAACAAGCCCAGGTACCCTTTGGTAATTTAACATAGCTATGGAAATCACCATTTTTAATGGGAAAATCCACTATAAATGGCCATTTTCAATAGCTATGTTAGTTTACCAGAGGGTAAACCATGGTAAACCTGTGCCCGATCCCCCCGAGGAGCCGAACGTGTATGGGGTGCTGGGAAAGCCCTAGCCTCCTATTTGAGCACATGGCAGCCACAAGGTTTACAGGCAGGGCTTGGGCCACTTGGGCTCACCTCATGGGCATTTCACAAGATTTCAATAGATTTCACATCTCTAGCCGCAGGTGGTGGAGCTGGGTGCTGGCTGTGGATTGCCTTGGGGCCCCAGGTTGACACTGGTGGATTTTACCCCACAGTTATGGCTATTTTTGGAGTGAAAATGATGACGAACCAGCGGATGGAATGGGTACCCAAATGGTGTCAGACAAATCCAAATTAGATTAGAGTAGATCAGATCCGGGTTTAAATAGATGGATGGATGGATGGAGAGATACAGAGAGGGGGAGAGAGTGACAGGTCTGCCGAGTACAGCAACAATGATAGAAGTGAATAGAATCGAAATATATTGAAATCATACATAGTGTTCCTAAAAGACAGGAAGGCAAAATGCCATAGAGTTCAAAAGGGAATGGGTGTTCACTCTGGTTCATCAATCAAAATAGCAGAGAATAGCTTGTATAGCCTTGTGTATTTTGAACTGACCATACTAGATCTTTTCACGATGATTTTTGGTTAATAGTGGTTAATGTTTCATCCTTCCAATATTTTTATATGATGGAAGTATCCTCTTGAAACTTGACATGGAAACCCGAGACTTGCCACTTTCCAGTGGAAAAATGTCTCCTCGCAAGCCGATTGCAACCCGAACATCCCTGGTCTATAGATGACTTATCCTCCGGTGCTATCAGTCACATGGTTTGCTAGAAAATCTATAGTTTAGTTCGATGATCTTTCCATTGAAACCTTATGAAACCTCCACTTGTAAGGAATTTCCCTTTATTTCAAAAACAGTAGTAGTATGTTAGCTTCCCAACCGGCCACGCTTCCTGTTGACATCACGTGCCCAGGCCCGGCCTAGTTCTGGCAAGAGGAGGGGCATTCGTGACCCTGACAGACGTGCCGTGGCTGTTGCCTGTCAGCACACCAGCTGGTGTCGACGAGTTTGGCGATGGGAAGCGTGTGGAAATCCCAATGTTTGGCGGGAAAGTGTAAGTAAGAAAATGACAGAATATAGTATAGTCTACAAATATCATCAACATTCATCAACTATCTCTTCGAGAGAGAGAGAGAGAGAGCAGAGAGAGAGAGAGAGAAGAGAGAGAGAAGAGAGAGAGAAGAGAGAGAGAAGAGAGAGAGAAGAGAGAGAAGAGAGAGAGAAGAGAGAGAGAAGAGAGAGAGAAGCGAGGAGAGAGAGAGAGAGAGAGAGAGAGAGATCTACAAATGCTAGATGTTCATGGGTGTTTTTTAATGGCTTTCTGCCAGAGGCCATTTTTTCAGATTATATATGTTCAATGCTATGGCTGCTGCAGGCTCCAAATGCTTGAGTACAATGTCGCAGCCAACTTCTCCCAGGACGACGTGTTCCGGCCGTATGTGGCTTGGTACCAGTGGAATATGGCCCATGGTTGTCTGATGCTGGGTTCGCTCAATCAGTGGACAGGGATCCGAACATGAAATAAACAGACAGATAACGCATATTAACGCATGATAAACACGAATGTCTCATCATGTCTCTCTCTCTTGCGGCTTCTGTTTCAGTGCAGCACATGTTGAAAATTGGTGACCGCTTCTGTGCTGCTCAGGTGTCTGCACTGCGTTGGGGCAATGCTGCTGATGCTGCCAGTGTCCTCCAGGCTGAATTCGGAGATTGCCAGTGTAATTTTGGCTGCAGGAATTTAACAGTGCCACAGTGCCACATCCATCAAAGGATTCTGATGATTCTGTCCTGTGCCCAGAAAATATGTGTAGGCAAAAAATGCCAGAAAATGCAAAAATGCATCTGTTCCTGAAAAGTGTTCACCTAAATTCAAATCTGGTCTCACCGAAGGAGCTCTGTGGGATGCTGCGCGTATGTTTGATGACATTTGCATGGTCTTTGGATATCGCCCATTTCAAGGTCACACGCGCAAAAAAATAGTAACAATTTGGTGATCTTCCTTGTTTGATATTGATTTTTAATGATTTTTAAAACCTCGAACTGACGCATGCAGAGTAAATCTATTCTATGTATTTATATATATATACCATTTTATACCTATGCAGGCACATGCGCATTGACTTGTCAGGGGCCTGGACAATAGCCTCGCTGTGAGGCTATTGGCCGACCCCCCGATTTGGTCATTGGAGTTCCTTGCTGAAAATTCCGCTGGAGCTATGCTGCAAAGGAAGGAAGCCTGTGACCGATAAACAGAAAAGTTAAGAGATAACCAGAATTGATTGTCGGCTGTTGGTGGTTTCAACATTATTCAACATGTTTCAACATGTTTCAACTTTCAAATATGTGGTGTTTTGGTGTGTTTGTCCATCCATACCCAGGATGTACAAGGAATCATCAACAACCACCATGACCGATGAAGGTCTTGGCCTTTCTTCAGCCGCTGTTCCACCCAGGCAGACTTGGTGTACCGGGAGCAAGACTTTGATGCGTTGTTGGCGTGCATTGTCCCTTGACGGCACAGAGCTTGGAGCTGGGGCTAGCTATCGTGAAAGATCCCGAAATTGCGGTAATATTTGATAAAGCACCATTATATGTCAAATATATTCAAATATTATGAATGTGTATACATAAGCAAATTCCCAGGTTTTCATTGGATAATAGAGATCATGAATTACATCCCCATTAGCATTCCCATTACGGGTTCAATACATCGCACCTGGCCTTGATTCTTTGATGTCTTCCCATTGGGGTTGGTTGGACTCCCATGTTTGGTGGTCAACCCCCATTTTACTGTATCCCCAGTATATCCCATTGTATCCCATGATATATATCATATTACATCACCACCCTTTTCGTGGGGTGTAAGCAAGGGTGGCGTTCAAAAGATGTAAGCAACAATTTTGACCCCTGCGTATTTTTTCCCGATGGGGAAGGCTATATGTATCTTAGACCCCTCCTACGTCAAAAACCGTGCCCCGGAAGATTTACATTTGGGGAGGGGGGTGGGTGAAAGTCCGTAAGAGATAGGTCACCCCATATTTTTGTCCGAACCCCCCCCCCCCGTACTCTACGGATAGAGGGAGGGGTGGGGGGAGGTAAAAATTGTTAAATGTCCGCAAGCAGTTTGTAAACTGTTTGTGAGGTGTCTTTGTGGGGGTGTAATCAACCTATGTCTGAGGTCCATAGTTCCTTGCAGAAAGTGTTCGAAAAAGAAGGTAAAACTAAGATAGAACAATGTATATAAACCATCCTACACCTGAGGTCCTTAATTCCTGGCAGAAAGTGCTTAAAAAAGAAGGTAGAGATGAGATTAAAAAATGTAACCATCTTACACTTGAGGTCCTTAATTCCTTGCAGAAAGTGCTCAAAAAAGAAGAAATAAGATAAAATATGATAAAAATCATGTAACCATCCTACACCTGAGGTCCTTAATTCCATGCAGAAATTGCCATACTACACCTGAGGCCTATAATTCCTTGCAGAAAGTGCTTAAAAAAGAAGGTAAATATAAGATTTAAAAAAAAAACATCCTAGCCTATACATAAGGCCCATTGTTCCTTGCAGAAAGTGCTCGAAAAAGAAGGTAGAGCTAAGACTGAAAAATGTAACCATCCTACACCTCAGGATATAATAACAATCTACACATGTGTAGATTGTTATTATATTATGGTTGGAGGGTCATAAGGGGGGCTAGATAGGAAAGAAGGGTGTTTAAGTTCGATCATGTAGGTACATAAAAGGGGGTTTACCATGGGGACTCCATAAAGGTTCATTTGAAGTTCTTTTGAGGTCCGTTTGAGGTCCATTTGAGATCTTTATTTGTATTCTATTGTTTTTTACATACATAGGAGGCAAATTTGAAGACCTTCAACATCTAATTTTGCATTTATTTGAAGTTCAAGGATTTTCCAGTAATTTGCAAGGAATAATATACCTTCTATACCTCTATGTTACATGTGGAAATGATAAACAAAGTGCAGAAAAAGTGTATATAGAATGTATTGGAAATATCAGGCAATTGGGGACCTACACACTTCCAGTTTGCATTTTTGATTTTCTGCAATTCTGCAGCTATTTGCAGACCTTCACACTATTTTTTTACATGTGTTTTTCATGTTCTTACATTTTTTTCAAAAATGCAATGGACAATGTTGAACCCCCCCTGCGTTTTTTAAGAAAATAAATGAAATCTCGTAAAGAATGAGGGAACCTACTAAAATGAAATCTTGCAAATAAGACGCGCTTAAAAACCTAAATGCTTGCCAACATTTAACAGGACCACCTCCCTCAAAAACATTTAAATTGTGTCTTGCAATTTGGGTACGCCCCCCCTCCTTAAAAGGGTAGTTATATGTAGTGATCATATTACATCATATTATGTAATATGATGTCATATTATATATACCATATTAAATCATATTGTACCATATTATATCATATTTCATCATCACCATCATATATATATACATAATTATATATATATAAATATAACCCATATATTCCATTAACTTGTGGCCAATTGATCCCCATGTTATGCCATTTTCGGCCACGCAGTGCCGCAAGCACGAGTCCTGCGTGGCCCCACGCAGGAGAGTTTGGCCCCACGCAGGGCACTCCTAGCGGTGCAACGACGTGACGTTGCTCTGGAGGTGCTCCTGTGACAGAAACCATCTCCCAGACCAAGGGATGTAATCCCATCCTGTGACATTAAGTGCCCCCAGGGCCCCACAGGATCCGAGACTAAACCAGGGTTTTACTTGGGGCCTCTAATTATTGCAGGAAGGGATTGATCATAGTGGATTCAAGTAGCAAAAACCCGTTCGTGCCAGTGTCATGGCTGCACCAGAAAAAAAGAGAGTCGAGATGACATGCTTCGACCACCAAAGCTGGTTAGTATGCAATAATTAGTAGGTAGTTGTTGTTAAAGTTAAGTTGTTGTTTGTGGGTCAGTTCTCAACATGAGGCAACTGTGGATGTCCCCCACACATCCCACTTCAGCCAAGATGTTCAGCTTGGGATTCCGAGGAAGTCTCAAATGTGCAGAGCAACTGTAACATTAATAACATTTAATAGCCATACAAGTATGGTAACATATGTAAATATTAGTAGTTAGAGAGTCACCTTAAATGCCACAGTCACTGTCACTGGTGTGTTCCAGGCTTTCATCAGCCGCGTGAAGCACCTGGGATGGTCAGTTTTCAGCCGCTCAGCCGTCGATGGGGAGCCCCTGGTGGTTGATGGTTAGCTTGGAGGTTTAATATGTTATAAGCATGGCAAGAACCCCATAAGTTGGGATGTAACCCTGACATCTTGTGGCTTCTCTTTTAGCCTTTGTAGAGAGATGTTACAGTACAATAACGGTCATCATCCATGAATTAGGAATACCGTTCTCCACCAAGCAGTATTGAAAATGGAGTGACATTTCAATTTTTTTTCACCCGGATTGTTTCATGGAAATTAGGCTTGGTTGACCTATGTTGACCTATGTTGACCTTCCCCATTTTCAGCCATAAAATCAGCATTGGATGATGACTCACTGAGGCCAGCTCATCGCTCCTCGGGTTTTCTTACTCGAAGTCTTTCCGTGACTCGGATGACAAAAGGATGACTCGGATGGCCCCGTTTCTGACCGAGATGACTCGGGAAAACAATCCCAAGATTCATCATAATCCCCCAGATAGGTTTAGGGATGTTTAGGGACCCCGGTGACCCCCCAAATCATCGGTGCTTATGTGCTTATTAAAACTTATTAAGATTTATTAAGGGGTTATTTACAACCAACAACCACCAATTATTGGGCGTGTTGACCATCTATTCTTGCGGCCCTTGCGTCACCTTTGAGGGCTTTGAATCCCAATATCCAAAGACAAGGATGGCAGCTTGGCATTGAGGCCGGTGCATTTGAAAGACACTGACCGTGCGTGTTTCAACTTGCAGGCCGTTCGAGGGGCCGGGATGGTGGCCTGTACCATGGAGGCTGTGGTGATTGGGCAAAAAATGGCCATACCATCCTATTTAGGAGGCAGTTTTGATCCAAAACATCCCAAATCCCAAAGGTCATATAGCACACATGTAAGGAAAGGTTCAACCAATGGTCAGCAAACTCGCGCCTTCGCTGACGGTTTTTTTGTTGGTTAATTTTGTTGTGATCCTTAAGCTCGGATATAAAGCCTGGCTGTTCTATTTCTGGGGTTCTGCATGATCCATCGAGAAGTGATGGTTTGGTTCCATTCGTTCTATTACAGTAATCTTTCTCGTTTTACATCTCTACCTGGTACGATGACCCAATTGAAATATATGTGTTGTGAGCCGCTCAAGTATCAACCAATAATTGTGGTTAAGTAACAGTACATATTATTCTATGGACGTTAAGTACGTGATATTTATATCCTTTGAGTTGATGGGTTGAAACCCACAAAGTAGCAGCTTTGTGTTGTGTATTGTTGCTTAGTATAATTCAGTAGATATCAGCACGGTTCTCTTTTTGTAGGTTGTTATCATGTGCTATTTCTCGATATCCCCACCATCTCGCCATAATTTCCCGCGTTCTCACTCGGCCGAGGAAGCTCCTGAGCAGCGCTGCCAGGCGGTAACAATCGGTAACCATTTCCTGCACAGCCTGTGATTCTGTTGGTTTGATCCTGTCAATCAACAGAATATGCTGGTGATATCTGGATATATCTGGTGATATATGGTGATATATGATGATATGTGGTGATATTTGGTGATATACTTTTATTCTGTTATATTAAAGCTGTGATAATTATACTGTTATTCTGGTGTTTTTGCAGCCTTGCGCGATGGCTGCTTGGATGCATCACATGAATCATGTGACATGTGTCTTGTTTCTTTTCCCCATGTTTGGCTGATACAACACTATAGCAACCCCCAACAAGATTTAAAGAACACAACTTAAGATTATACTAGAATAGTGGGGGCATTACTTTTCTGGCTTCTTTGGGTGGATTTTGGGTGTTACTATATGATTCCAATATCCTACCTACACCCCAGCGGCCTTAACCCGGAGGCAGCTCCTGCTGCGTAAGCCAAGGAGGCCTGAAACATCCAGCAGACAGCGACCACAATGGGCTGTTGATCATTGAGGGGTACCATTTTGGAGAGTTGATTATAGTTCATCATCATCTATGGAACTGGCACTTGAAGGGTCGATTTTGGGGCGGTTTCACATGCATTTTCGTAGATGACATCACTATTTTGGGATTCCCCCGATCCTTATTCAAGCAAGGGGAGTAAAAATCCGGGCGTGGCATGCGCAAGTTGGCCCGAAAATCTCACCCAAAAAATAAATGTATGTTTGTCAGATTGTTTTCCATCGAAACTTTGGGTTTCTCATGGTGCAGTGCAGATGACCAGAATGATAAGAGGACCATTCATCTACGCATTTTCAGCATGTTTTAGCTATTTGTATATGCATTTGCGTTTTCAATCTGTGTTCGACCTTTTTTGAGGATGGAAGGTGTGCATGTAATAGTTTATATATGTGCACGTGTGTGTGTGCACTATATATCTAAATGTAAATATGTCAGAGAAAGAGGAGAGAGAGAGAGAGAGAAAAATTAAATGAAATGAATATGTATGTGTTGGTGCTTTTGTGTGTACAATATTGAAGCTACTTGAGGCTTGCAGTGATGAAAGTGAATTTTGTTTGTCATATTTTGTTTTTTTCCCATATCTTTGTGTGGGGTTCTGGTTTTTGATTCTGTATCCCGTCGCCTCCTCCTCCGCCTCCTCCTCCTCCGCCTCCTCCGTTTCCAACTTTCACACACCATCTTAAACACACAACTTTGTCACACACCATCTTAAACACACATAACTTTGTCACACCATATTGGTCACACACTATCTTTCACACACAACTTTGTCACACACCATCTTAAACACACAACTTTGTGACCAACCATCTTTGTCACAAACCATCTTAAACACACAACTTTGTCACACACCATCTTTCACATACAACTTTGTCACAACCATCTTTCACCACACACTATCTTTCGCACACAACTTTGTCACACACCATCTTAAACACACAACTTTGTGACCAACCATCTTTGTCACACACCATTGGCGGCACTTTGCGTGGCAGGCGTGGCACTTGGTGACATGCACTTTCATTTCATGTGGCAGGCGCGGCACTTGGTGACATCCACCTTCGTTTTGCGTGGCAGGTGTAGCACTTATGGCATCCACTTTCATTTCACGTGGCAGGCGTGGCACTTGGTGACATCCACCTTTGTTTTGCGTGGCAGGCGTGGCACTTGGTGGCGCGCTTGGTCGCCGTTGGTCGCCGTTGGTCGCCGTTGGTCGCCGTTGGTCGCCGTTGGTCGCCCGGGGCGCCGCGCCACTTTGCGTGGCAGGCGTGGCACAAGGTGACATCCACCTTCATTTCACGTGGCAGGGGTGGCGCTTGGTGATTCGTTTCACGTGGCAGGCGTGGCACTTGGCGACATCTACCTTCGTTTTGCGTGGCAGGCGTGGTACAGGTTGCACTTGGTGGCGCGCTTGGTCGCCGTTGGTCGCCGTTGGTCGCCTGGGGCGCCGCACCACTTTGCATGGCAGGTGTGGCACAAGGTGACATCCACCTCCATTTCACGTGGCATGCGTGGCACTTGGTGACATCCACCTTCGTTTCACGTGGTAGGCGTGGCACTTGGCGACATCCACCTTTCACACACCATCTTTGACACGCCATCCCTCACCAAGCTTTGTCACACACCATCTTTCAGACACCCACCATCTTTTTCAGACACCATCTTTGACACACCATCTTTCACACACAACTTTGTCACCCACCATCTTTGACACACCACTTTGTCACACACCATCTTTCACAGACCCTCCTCCACACACCATCTTTGTCACACACCATCTTCAACACACCATCTTCCACAACAGCATCTTTCACACCCAACTTTGTCACACACCATCTTTCACACACCACTTTGTCACACACCACTTTGTCACCCACCATCTTTGACACACCATCTTTGTCACACACCATCTTTCACACACCACTTTGTCACACACCATCCTTCACACACCACTTCGTCACACACACACACACACCATCTTTCACCACACCATCTTTCACACACAACTTCGTCACCCACCATCTTTCACACACCATGTTTGACACACCTCTTCGTCACACCATCTTTCGGCACACCATCTTTCAGACACCACTTTGTCACACACCATCTTTCACACACAACTTTGTCACGTGCTCTCTTTCACCATCTTTCACACGCAACTTTGTCACACACACACACACCATCTTTCTTTGTCACAGACCATCTTTCATATACAACTTTGTCACACACAACTTTGTCTTTCCTTCTTTCCCTGTCCCCGCTACAACATTTGGTGCTCATTATTGGAAGAAGTTGCCTTGTGGGGTTATCCGGTCCTTTAATTGTTGGAAGATTTGGAAGACCTGGCACAGGGCGATGGTTGTTATATGCATAGCCTGCATAGCCAGCAAAGAATTACCAAACCAAAGGACACTGTGTTTGAACCACTAGGCGTCCAAGTGCACGAATTCACCCACCGATTTCAAGACTGTTTTCCAGGACCCATTCTGCGTGGGCCAACCACCAAAGACCTTTTGTGCAAACCTGTGCGTCAGGTTTGCTGGATGAACTGTTTTTTGAAGAGTCCAGAAGTCCAGAAGTGATACTGAAGCATATACAGACTGTACAGTAGCCCTCATGTTCAGAATTCGGTGCTATGGGCTGGCAGCAAACTGCTGTGGGATGCGGTTGGTGTCAGAGGCCACATGGGGAGAGATATGTAAGAGAGGTTGGTCTCAAAACCACCTTTTACAGGTTCAGAATCTTTGGTTTGGTAGTGAAATTCTTGTGCGTTGGTGTGGGCATTTGATGTCATACCTTTTCGATCCTTTTCGCTCAATCGAATACAGGATGCCACCGGAAACAACCCTCCATCTCTGTGCCTCTGTTGCATCCCAGATGGTTTGGAAATGTTTGGAACCGCCTTTGGAGCTGCGCCATTTCCAAGCTGGTTGGGGGTTTCACGAAGAGTTCTAATGGCCCCTTAATGGCCCCTTCAAGGGGAAGGATGACATGAAATAAAGTTCTCAGCCTCGAGGAAAAAACAACGAACCCAGGGAAAAATGACTTGCGTCTTGAAATCGTTGAAGTGCTGATTGCTGCTCTTCCCACTTGGGACGCTGCAATCTCACGAATGTTTTACGGGGCCGCTCAACCACCAACCAGCCAGAGTAGAATCGCGCAGCAAATGTGAAGGCTGCTCGCTAGCAGCTGCCCCCATCCATGCTCACCATTTTAAGGGAGCATGCTCCAGATGACCTACACCTAGCGAAGATAAGTCCCTTGACCCACTTCCAGCCGTTGGAGATTCACAACTTATCGTTACAAATGCATGGTGGTCATTTCGCTTGCCTGGTGATTTCTGGTGGTTTCTGGCTGGCACCGTTTTAACCTGGTGCCATTTCAAGGTTCCACAAGGTGGCGCTCAGCATCCCACCTTGGTTCCCTGCAGCGGATTTGAAGGTCCACCAAGTGACCAACACGGCGCTGCTGCGAAAAAAATTGGTCGATGGTGGTGGATGCATCACTGTACACCTGAACAATCTCAAGCGGAGCACACAAGAGCGACATTTCAACCGTGGAATGTCGTTTTGGATATTTTGGATTGTCTCGGCATGAGTGCCTTCATTTTTCCTGGTGGAGGCGATAATATAGGGTGATGTTTACAACCAGTTTTTTGCTCCACTCATTCTATGCAGGTACGCTGCCATTGATGCGAGCGATGCCTTTTTCCAAAAGGCCAAGAAAGAGCTGACGTTAGTCAAGTACAATCAATTGAAGCAGGACGGGTGAAGTTGGCAAGTTGGGATTAAGTTGGCCCACTTTTCCAGTGGTCCTCTAACGTTTGGATGTATAAGGACCCTTGCAAATGGAGATGGTTTTAGGAATTTGACCATTTTCAGGAGCCTGGTGCCCCAAGATGACACATCAAAGCAGCGCTCGCAAGAGGAGATTATGTTACTCAACCGGAAGGGCCAGCGCCGTTCTGAGAACCCACTTCGGATGGAGGATGAGAAGCTGCGTTACCCCACTGAAAGCCAACGTAAATCTCAGAAAATAGGTTTGGAAGACTATCAAATTGAAAGTGTTGCTTCATGCTGAGAATCTACTGAATTTGAGGTACGGCACACAGGGAACCACCCACTTCTGCCAAATTACTATAGTTTAGCGACATATCAGCTGCTGAAACAATACAGAGAGGTGGCATGAAGCCAGGTCTTGAATCGAATGGAGTAGACTGAGTAGACTCACCTAATTCTCACATATTCTCACGGCATGTTCTGCATGTTCTGAACACAATCAGAGATATCCAATGATATTCACGTGCCATCATGGAAACTTTGAGCTGTTTCCCTTCGTGGATGTTGCCACCATGGGCCTTGAGATCCGACGTTCAAAGGTCAATCGAGGAGTGCTTAGACAAGAGCCCAGTGGCCCAGTCACAGCCGCGGCCGCGGCAGCTTCTGAACCAAATACCATGGGTTTTAGCGAAGCCCAACCCCAAAATGGGAAGATGGTTCCATGTACCCTCCCAATCCTCCCGTAATTCAAGCATGGCAGTTGAAAATCCCAACTTCGAATGAGAACATATGGGATTGTATCATCTACATGTGGGATGATGTTTAGATGACCCTTAAGGGTACGGTTCAGATTGGTGGGATAGGTGACTCCATATCAATCTCAACTAGCAACATCCGCCAACATCCCATTGTAGTATCCGTATTGGTTCCTTGAGCCAGGACTTCACGGACAGCTAACAGTACCTTGCCGTAGTGTATATTGCCAGGTAAATTGCCCAGACCTTTCAAATTGCTTTATCGACGTCAAGATCAATTAAAACTGTGTAGATACACATATAATCACGTATATATATATAGATAGAGATAGAGATAGAGATAGAGATCGATCGATAGATAGATAGAGATAGAGATCGATGGATCGATAGATCGATGGATCGATAGATCGATAGATCGATAGATCGATAGATCGATAGATCGATAGATCGATAGATCGATAGATAGATCGATAGATCGATAGATCGATAGATCGATAGATCGATAGATCGATAGATAGATAGATAGATAGATAGAATACAGATATAAACATGGTGTGTATACACATATGTACACAGGGAATTAGTCATAGATACAAGGTATATGTTTTAGCACGACGGTCTCAGGCTCCGAGCTGGTCAGCTCAGAGATGCTACAGGAGCTGAGGCACATAACCAACCATTGTTAATGGTGATGGTTGTAAGTTATAACCATGATGGTGAAGAAAGATAGTCAGAGTTATTATCATGGCAATGGCTAATAATGACAAACATGGATTGGTACTGGTTGACATAATAATGGCCAGTACTGGTTGAAATGGCTAAAAAGAATCATAATGTTAGTACTGGTTGAAATGGAGAAGTTCAGTGATTTAATTAGTAATACTAGTAGATTGGGAAAGTCTGTGTGACTTGATCATGTGAAATTTAGGTTGACTTGCTTGACTCATTGATGTAGTTGGATATATTGGGATTTAACCATACAGGTAAAATTGGGGAAATTTGATGTGACTTGACTATCCACTAGATTGCAATGCGGCAAACTCAACACCATCTAAAACATCTTCATTTGGAGAGACATGGCTGGTGTAGACCATCCCAAAAAGGTGTTGATTGCACGAACAGTATTTAACTGAATTAAATGCAAAAATGAGTCCGATGAATTGTAGGCATACACTTCGGTTTTTATGTTGGGTTTGGTAAATTAGAAAATGCGAGGAACAAACACAGCTTCAACTCAAGTGTTACCAGCACAAATGGGGATGTTTTGGATGAGTGCATAAATTTTATAATGTTATATAACTAGCTGATATAGCCCAAAAAAAACGGTGACCTAAAGTAGGTTCCCCCATTGCTGCAAGGCTGCCCTGGGTAGCTATTGTTGCCCACCCTCTGGAACATCATTTTTCAGTTGTGTGGTTTAAGACCCTTTGCCAATCTGAAGCGGCGAATTTGGATATTCAATAGAAAACTCCTCTAAGTAGAACCTTCACCCCAGAACAGGTCCCTGCTGCGCTTGGGCCGGCTGGGGCCTCGGAAATAGACAAAAACCGGTCCTGTGAACGGTTTGGTCAACATTTGAAGTCAATCCCACCGCCTGAAATTAGATGCCCCCATCACGAAATTCTGAAATGAATATACGTATACTGTTGTTTGCTAGGGCCTCCTAAGGGTCTGCCCGATGCCATGATCCAATTCCAATTAAACAAAAGCGTTTTTTCCAGTGAGGCTACTGATAGCTTTTTAGCATTGCTGATGGATATTGATGGGATCGAGTTACAAGCATCCAGAAACTGAACTCCATCCAAAAATTAAATTGTCCATGGCGAAACCCAATTTTTTCATGGTATGTCCAATTTGAGGCCAAGCCGTGTGTCACGGGTTGCAGAAACAGACCACTGAGCAAAATAATAAATTTCAAAATCCTTAAATAAATTAGAAAACCGTTATTTCGAATAATATCAAATCAAATTAGGAATTCAAAATATACTATTACTGTAGATTTATTTATTTAATTTATATTTTTTAACGGGAAAATTGGAAATTAATTATATTAATTTTACCATATTTATTTAAGATATTCTAATCTAATTTATTCTCTCTCTCACATTGCGAAAAGTCGTATCGCCGAACCGACGGCCGACCAGCTTGTGTGGGCCGTCGATCCACTAACTGCACATTACCAGAAAGCCGGGAGCCGCAGAGCGCCGAGCCCGGACCGATGTCTGAAAAGAACCAGCAAATCGTCCACCACAGGGGGGGGAAGGGGGACACGCCCCACACACGAGAAACCAGCAAAAGCAGCACCCAAAGCCGCCAAACTACCCGCACCAACCGAGCCCGCAGGAAGGGCCTCACAGGCAACCAGGTGGCGCACCCAAACACGATACAAAGTCTTCACCGGCGGCACCACGAAGCCGTCCAAGGTGTGGTCATCAGCCAAACGCCATCGACCGTCGTACCAGAAAGGGGGCAAAGACCCAGTGTCAAAGACGAACTGCCACAGCAGCTCCAGAGCAGAGATCTCAGTCCACCCACCTCCAGACCGAGGATACCAGCGCAGAGACGACAGCCACTCAGAGAGCTTGCGAGTGAATCCATCATGCAACCACAGCGCAACATCCGCATCGCCAATGGTTGACCCACGACCGACCACCTCGAAAAGGGATGCATCCGGCACAACTCTCTCGCCCCGAGGTTCAGCGCAAAAGAGCTTAGCCAACCCAACATGAAAGTCAGCAAGCCGCACAGCCAAAGCGCTAGTGCGGTCAACCTGCTGAAACAAAGCCTGGTAGGACGCGCCGCGCGCAAAGGCCCGCACACAGGTCTTGGCCTCCCGGTCAGCGTAAGAGTTAAAGAGTGCCAAGATGCGTTGGTGTCCTTCGAGCTCTGCAGGATTCTGGTGCGCCTTAACCCACCGAATCACCACCTGTCCCCAACTCTGATAAGTAGAGACTTGACAGAAGTACTCCCAAAGGTCACGATGTTCGTGCGGCAGTCTGTGCCCACGCTGCCAAGCCGGCAACCGCAACAACTGTTCTGCAATACGCACCACAGCTGAGTTATCACAGAAAATGGTAACCTTTCCAAAAGAACCGACCGCAACACAAATGGCCAGCACCTCAGCCCGATAGCTAGACTGATCAAGCCCAGGCACAATCCCAGCCCAAACAACCTGATACGCCCCCGGGCTAGCCAAGATGACCGCACCACCAGACAAACGAAGCTTGGGCTTGGTAGGGAACAGACAACTACCATCCGTAAAGACAAATTGTCTGGCCTCGCAACTGGATGTGAAAACCTGCGGCAACTCAAGCCCACACAGTTGCGCCTGCCAGTCTCTCAAGCCAACAGTTTCATCCCAAATACCGTACGCCCAAGTATGATCCGGCAGAGGCTGACCATCCAACTCCTTCAGGAGTGAAGCGCGCAGTTCACCACCGGCCACGCAGTATTTTGCACGATGGAGACGAGAATCAGGTTCACCACACAGGGGACATGCATTGGAAACCTGGACACCTTCCGCATGTGCAAGGCAGTCCCGAGTAAATGTAACACCTGTAAGTTGCGAAAGAAGCAAAGAGCGGTCCCCAAGAGGAAAGCGTTGCCACACTTTGGAGAGCTCAGCATCAATGACCTGAATCTCCCCACAATCTTTTCTGTGAGTCACATTGCTACCGACCTTCTGCAGCCATGATGACTCCAGAACACGCTTCACCGCCTTAAGAGGCGTGTTCACAAGGTGGAAACATCTGCCGTGGTCATCAGAGGCCACCAGCCCCTGCACAATCCATTCGAACGAGCGGAGCTGCCTTGAAAGAAGGAAAGAAACACCCCGCGTAGCCGAGCGCAAAGCGCAAAGACCCTTTTGCATACGCGGACGCGCGTCCGGAAAGTCGCGCCACATGAGGCGAAACAACCTCAACCTTTGAACAAGGAGACAAAACTCGGGGTCAACAAGTTGGGGACTACCGACCGAACAAGCTAACCACGGGCTAACCCCTTGTTTGGCGATGGAGGCAACCCGCCCCGCTTGTGTACGCAACCTTTTAAGAACCGACTTCGGCACAACACAAGTCTCACTACCATGCAGACATTGCGGCCAGATGCCAGACATGATGAGCCTGGACTTTTGCCACTTACTACCAGGCAAACCTTTCGCCCGTTGCAACCTGCGATGCCCAGCCTTGATTCGCAAGTTGCGCTTTGCTGCGGCACGTCTTTTGCAGTAAGGCATATCAGCCCCAAGGTCAACTGCCTGTAACCGCACCGGGATATGAGAATCCCCAAACGCAACCTGTTTGAGCCGTTTGCGCCCAACTTTACCAGCACTCCACAGCCAGCACTTCTCAGGCGAAACAGGTAAAGCGCAGAGCTCGAGGAACTCGTGAATCTTCGGCAGAACAGTGACAATGGGACCGACCTGACGTGCGATAACTTGCCAGTTATCTGCGTACGTGACAGGGACAACATCCGCCTCCCCCAGAACGAACCGAGCGAAGAAAAGACACATGCAGAATATAGCGACAACCGACAAGGGGTCCCCTTCCGGCACACCTGCCGTAGACTTTTTCAAATCCTCAGCAGCGGGGTAGACACACCCTGCTACGAGTATCTGCCTCTCCATCCCATCCAACGCCTTCATCCATGCCAGCACAATATTTGACGGCAGACCAAAGTGAAGCATGACAGCGGTAACCAAAGGTCTCCGCATAACGTTGAACGCTTTGATGATGTCCAACACCACCCCAGAGGGAGAACCTCCCGCGGCTTCTTCTTCCGCTACAAAGTCTGCGACGTACCCCCAAAGCGACCGCGTAGACAGACGTGGCCCAACAGTCGGCAAGGCCTGCTCATGACACAACTGCAACAGCTGAGAAGTACGGATCCTCGCCCAAACCCGATAGACCACGGAGGCAACGGAGATGGGTCTAACCGACTTCCAAGTAGGTATACCTTCTTCTTTACGCAAAAGAACAAGTAACCAAGTCTGCAGCTGCTTCGGCCAACCGCCACCCTTCTCAACAGTCGCAAAGAGCCGGAGTAAGGGCAAAACAGCCTTCTCAGGCAACAGGCGCAGTTCACCGACCGACCAACCACAAGTGCCTCTCATAGTTGCGACCTTAGCTTTGGCCAAGGCAGCACGCCAGTCAGCAAAGGAAACCGGCGGGAGGAAATGCTCCGCTTTCCCAGGGATACGTTCCAGCAGGTCCTTCCAGGGATACGTATCATCAAAATCACTCTCCCGCTGCCAGAACTCACTCCAACCAGCAAAGAAAGAATGACTCCAAACCGCAGGATCCAACGAAACCTCAGTTTTTGCAAGAGAGGCGGCCTCCGTCCTTGACACTTTCCGATCCAAACGTATGGACGTATCCATGACCTCGACAACTTTACAGTCAATTTTGCCGGAAAGACAATCACCGACCTGAAAACCATGACCTGGCAGTAACTGAATCCATTGTTTCCCGTCCGGGAGCCAGCGCTGCGGCCGCAGTTTAACCGAAGAGCAGACCTCCATCTCCAGCACAGGCGGGTGTGGCCTGTCCTTGATCAAACGATATGCCAGACTACCACTCTTCTTCTTCCAAGACTCCTCCACGTCTGTCGCGAACGATTCTCGTTTTGCCTTCCAACACCTTCTCCCAATGTCCTGAGCGTGCTCCGCTGCCTTCTCGAGAAACATCTTCAAGGTAGGCAAACCCGGAAGAACGTAGATCTCAAAGCCAAAACACTCCCGAACCCACCTCGGAAACCTGGGCCTGACCGGCGAACCATAAATGGCAGCCCAAAGCAAAGAAACTTCGGTAGTGAAAGCATCACACGACTGTCGTCCCCGCCCACGCGCCAGCTTTCGCACCAAAGCTTCCAATTGGCGCACCAATTTCTGCCACCTCCTGGCCTCCAATGCCACAGACGGACAAGAAAGGCGGAAGTCAGCACCACGACCCGCACGAAATCTAGGAGGGGCCCAATCCCTCAAGACAGGCTCCAGTGATTGGCCGCGACCTTTCCACGTCTGCCTAGAGTGGACGTCAGGCTCCTCCACCGCCACACAAAGCATTTCTTCGGCAATGATGGACCAATTCGAAAAAGCCGTGTCCATCTGGCCCTCCAATGCCAGGGCATCAACCTGTTGATCCCACACTGAGTCGGCGACAGAGGCCGCCATACCTTCAAGAGCTTCTTTATGGAAGGAGAACTTATCCAACGGCTTAGGCATAACCCACTTCAGCACACGAAAGTTGTGGTCCGGCAGGGCAAACTCCGTCACAAGAACCGCATGCGTGGACAAATCCTCGTGAAAGCTCACCTCCGAAGACACCAAGAAAGGCAACAAAGAGGGGTTGGCCAGACAAAAGGTATGCCTGGTAGCCCTTTGACATGTTGGCTGGGGCTGAGTGCCTTTGCGCTCAGCATCAAGTTGCGCAGTGTCAGCCCAGCCTTCCAGCACAAGGTCTCTCACTTCCTGAAACAAATCATGCGATGCGTTAAAGTCACCTGCCAAAATGGCAGGACCAGACACCGACCTAATTAACTGCACAGCTGCACCAATTACCTCACAATTCTCCGCATAGCGACGCGAAGAAAGAGGAGCATTGGGCCACAAGTAAACCGTGACCACACTAATGGCAAGTTGTCCAACTTGCACAACCCCGAAGTGAATCCTCTGTGAACACCAAACCCGAGTGTCAACCACAGGAGATTCAAAACTATACAAAGGAAAGGGCGAAACCAAACCGCAGCCTCGAGAAAGACCACGGAAGGAACCCAAAGGATTGCCCACCTCAAACTTATCAGGAACGGGACGACAAAGCCCCACGTGGAGCCCATACGACTTGAACTCCGCAGAGATAGCACGCACAGCGCGGTCAGTATGACTCGTCTCGGACAGCGCAATCGCATGCAAATCCCATGATGCCAATGTATGTGACTTCCCGAGGAGCTGGGTGGGATTCGTCGCCCCGAAACGCCACCTCAGGGGTGCATCGCCGCTTCGACCTTTCGGACCTTTGGCGACTGTTCTATGGCCTGCTTAATTTCATTGAGAGTGGCCGCCTGCTGCTCCTCGATGCGCTGGATACGTTGTTCCGTTTGCTGTCCAAACTTGCGCAGGAACTGTTCAAACTTGTCCTCGATCTTTGAGACCTGTTCGAATTTGTCACTGAGCTCATCAATTGCAGTCGTGGTCTGAGCGGCATTCTCCTTAACCTGGGCAGCAAGCGCTGAAACTTGCTGCTCCAGATTGTCGACCCTGGCCATGGTTTTGGACTCAAGCTGCTCGAACTTGGATGTGACCTCTGGGAGCAGTGGTGGCGCCTTACCATCGACCTGTTCCCGAGGCGCAACCTTCCAAGTTGTGTTCGAAAGCACGTTTCTGCTCGTCGAAGCGACAATGGGTTTTTGTCTCATCATCTGATCTTCCAGAATGACAATTGTGGCGTCCTTGACCCCGATCGACCGAACCGGAGGAGCATCAGATGCGGAAACCAACCAGGTACCTACCCCCTGTCCTCGCAAGACCTTAGCTCCCCAACCGACCTGTTTAAGCAATGCCTTAACAGTGTTCTTTTCGTATTCAACCGGGACTGCCAACAAACGAAAGCGCCTGGGGCCACCGTCTTCACTGTCGTCCGACTCGTCAAGATCAGGAAAAAGAGACTTCTTGGTCACCGCATACTGTGTAGCACGGACACGCACACCAAAACCTTTCGAAGTACGGACGAGGCCCAAGGGGTCGTCAAGAAGATCAAGTTGCCTTTTCGCGTCCTCACGGGAAAAACCCGGGAAAGTGATCACCTTGAACGCGGGGTCAACGGTCCTTGCAGCGGTTCTTGGGGTAGCATACATACCTTCAATGCCAGAAAGGCGAAGCAAAGGCACGACAAAAGCCTCAAAGATCCTGACAAAGCCATGTGCGTACTTGGCCTCATCAAGATTCGTGCGCTTGGTGCCATTGTAATACCCCAGTCCCCACACTTGCTGAATTGTCCTGGACTCACTGAAGCCAATCTTCTTCAAAAAGAAAGCAAGGCCACGTTGCAACTCTACCCAACAGCTGGACTCCTCCCGAAAGACGTGAATCATGACAACCTTGGTCGCGACATGGTCCTCAACGGCAATGTCAGCCTTTGCTTCCTTGTACTTGACTTCAACATCACCAACCTGAAACAGCACCGACCGGATCGCCGAGGAATGTGGACCGACCCAACCTGGAACAACAAGATCAGAACATCTTGAGTTGGGGATGTCCTTGGGCAAGTCCAAAATAGAACACCCACACAGGATGAGCGCTGCTGGGCCAGTCGTGCGACTGCGTTGCAGAATTGCTGGCAGACGATCCAGAATGGCCGGAAGTGGTTCGATGACCAAACCTTCTGCTCCTCGCATAAGTTCATCAACCGAGATGACGGGGAGTTCTTTGCCCTGCACGTGAAAGAAGGAGTCATCAATTCGCATCGTTGGCTGGTGACGGTCCTTCTGCACCTTCTTGGGGACGGGCATACGTTTCCATGGGTCATTTGCCACAAGTGGATCCTCTTCTCTCCTTTGGCTGGAACTTGCAGCTTTTGCCTCCCTTTCCAAAACCGTGACCAACCGAATGTTCTGCTTCGTCGCCTCCGCTTTGAGTGCAGTCCATGCCGATTTTGAGTCCAAACACCTTTTCACAACTTCAAAGGACAGTTTGTCAACTACCTCCGCAACTCTCGCTTTGACCTCCTTCTGCTCGACACCGTGTTCCTTCAGCAAAGACTGCAATCTTTCTTCAGTGTGCGCTAAGGAGAGAACACCCCCTTTCAAAGGAAACAGACGCATTCTCAAGACACCGGTGGTATTTGCAGCGAGAATCAAGGTTTCAGTGGAAACTGACCGACCTCCGACAAGAATCAAAGGCAGCGCCTTTCCATGGTAGAAGCGCTCGGCAAGATATCCTTGCACCTGACCGATGGTGGCCAGAGCACCAACGGTGATGTGACCAAAGGGCTGTAGCATGACTTGCCCTAAACCAAAACCGACCTGATAGCAACCCGGGGCAAGAGAATCGCAGCAGCTAACCCAAGCACCACTACGCATGTCGCGCACTGTCTCCAGTTTGGCTGCGACTGCAAAAGGGAAAACTTGTCGCACGTAAAACTCAGCAGTTTGACCCTCTTGCCACTCGGCGACTCGGCGACCATTTGCAGAGTAGATGTGCACCTCATGTTCGTTGACTTCGATCAGGTGATCCAAGAAGGTTCTGTGAGGGGAAAGCATCCAAAGAGGCGACTCCAGATGCACCTTTGCAAATGTGCTTCGTTCAAAGCCAACTGCCAAGGTGCCCAATAACTGGCCCCAAGTTGACAATGGGGACGCGCCAAAACTGAAGTTGTATCCAAACAGTGTGACTGGCTCGAACTCAACATGGACCTCAATGATATCCTCCAGGAGCGTACATTTCCGTATGCACACACCTTTGCCAATGCCGATAATCTTCGTCAGTGCGTCTTGAATGTCGATGCCTTGTTTGAACAACCTATGATGTGAGAGCCACCAGGTATGTGACTGATACACCACCAGAATCTGTCCGTTCTGCGGCAATTCAAAAACTTCAGCCACACCAAACTTCAGGGTAGTACCAAAAGGCCTGATGGAGAGGTTCCGCAGAAAGGGCCACCCACACACCATGAGGGCAACGAGCTCCCGCAGCTCGACTGCAGGAAAGGTGTCAACCAGGCCAAGGTTCCGCAAAACAGGACGGAGCACCTGAAGAACCTGAATCGGAGACACAGAGTTTCCCAGCACCGTAAGGTCTACATCACCGTCCACCGTGAAGGAAAACATTGGGCCGAAACCCAACAACCTTGCGGCCTCAAAAGCATGCAGATACCTTCGTACTGTTCCAAACTTGACTATCCAAGTGTACAAACCTTTCTCAATAAGAGACGACAAGGGAAGCCGAATTTGATGCTTGTACGCTGCCATAAGTACCGGGAGAGGGGCATTAGTGTAGGTACGACGTGCAAGCACCTCAGCAGGATTCCGAGAACACAGCCGCTTGTCAAAGGGAGACAGAAAATCCCAGTTGGAAAGCATCGCCTCTTCTTCAGGTGTCAGACCAACCTCGTACCTTTCCGCAACAGTCCACAATCCTTCCGGGATTCTGAGCTTAGTGGCTCCCAGGATGGAGAAATCCATTGGCCTCGCAAAGAAGCAGAAGAAACACCTTGGCCGTCTCATCGGCATCACCTGTTCAAGATCAAGCAGTTTAACCCTCAAGTGTTTCAAACCCAACATCTCCGCAAACCTATGGATAAGGTGCCAGTGAGGGTGCTTGAGCAGTCCTTTGACATTCTCACCAATTGAGAATTCCGGTTGCAGAGCAGCAAGGCACCCCAAGGAATGCAACATAAGTTGCCCGTCTTCAGCCTGCAATCCAAGTGCGTTTCCTCCACCGGAGAAAGAAGTACAAGGCGGAGAGTGCAAAACACCACGAAAAGGCCAAGCCAGCGAGATCTTCAGCCAGCGCTTGTCACGGATGTCCCCTATGATAACAACCTCCTGCGTAGCCAAGTCGGCCGTGAGAAAGTCAAGCGGAACTGCTGGACATGCCCGCATTTTTGCTAACCTCACCGCTCTTTCCGGGTCGATTTCAATGGCCACAACCGCAGCATTTTGGACCATGAAGGGCAAGGCCGCACTCCATCCTCCGATCCCTGCAAAGAGCTCCAAGAAACGGAGACCTTCATTTTTCCACTTTCTCGCAAGGAAAGACCGACCTTCATTTTCAACAAGGAAGACTTTGGTGTCCCCCAGATACCAGCAAGCAGAGCGTCAAAAACCGTCAGCTCAAGACCTCGTTGTGGTTCCAGCCATTGACACCAGTCCAACGCAAAGATTACAAAAACGTCAACTTCACCGACCTTGGCATTCCAACAATTAGGACAGCGACATGCACCAAGGACAAAGGAAAAGGATTGCCTTACTGCCATGCCAACTTCAAATTGGACCTTCCAATCATCAAAGGCGGGACCAGTAATGCCCAGCTCCCTTGGGAGTGACTGCGAAGGTGCCACACCAGGAACGTAAGAGGGGAAGACACAGCCCAAACACTCGGCAAAAGGCTTCAAACACCAGGCACACTGATTTGGCCAAAGGCCCTGATCAAAAACAACCGTAACACCTTGACCCGTATCAGACCTACACTCAGGGTGAAAGACAACATGCTCTCCGATCGCCATCCAAAAAGGTGTGAACTCAGGGTGCGCCACCACAAAATGAGTTACTTCGGCAGGGTGGGAAGTGACGAGAAGCTGGACGCACTGTGCGAAGGTGAAGGGGACATACACATCCTGGTCAATCACAAATCCAACGGTAGGGGAGACCGACCTTGGAGCCGAGGCGAAGAGCGACGACTTACCGAAACATGGATCATGTGCACCTAGGCGATCAACTCACGTTCGACCAAGTGACCGACCTCTTGTTCCAGATTTGCCTCAGAGCGCATACCATCACCATGAGGACCACATGGATGAATACCAGAAACATCAAGAGTAGCCTCAAACTGTGAGATCGGATCATCAATTTCATTCCCAAGACCGTCCTGAGCAGCCTTCTTACCTTGGTGATGCTTCCAAATACCAGCCTCTAAGTCTTCGAAACCGTCAGTTCCGGGGTTCCCCGTCGCAGCGAGATCACAAAGGATCTGAAAAGTGGGTGAAAGCCGCTCACAACCTTCCAAACCAGAATCCCTACCATGACCAAATTCATGTGAAAAATGACAAAGCGACTCATCATTCACCGCAACGTCGTGAAAAACGCAAAGTGAGGGGACTCCCTCAGATGAAACTTCAGTGGTAGGTGATTGGGGAACCCTTCTCTTTTCACCATCCGACCCAGCCTCCGCCTTATTCCCATCATCCACAAAGCACAGCGTGTGTACTTGTCGGCCAAGAAGTCCGTGATCATTGTGTTCCTGATTGGTACCGGCAGCCAACAAAACCCCAACTGTGTCAACCTGCATGTCAATTGGTGTCAGTACCTCGTCGACTTCATCTTTAGAAATCGCACCTACCTCCAACATCTCACACAAGGGACCTGTGTCACCGACCTGATGATTCAACTGACAGGCATCTGAACCACCTGAGACATCGGCCGCACCATGACCGATCACCCCCTCCCGTCCGTCCTCGTCAAAGCACCCAGCAGCCTGCAGTGAACCAAGAGGCGAACACGAACCGACCAACCCAGCAGGAACACTCAATGAGGGGGTGGAAACCACGGGATAAATGGGGTCATCAGTACCGGTGTATGCTCGCGCTCCGCGGTCACGAGGTGAGACAGAAACCCTACGCCGGAAGAGCTGACCCCCCTCAGTAGACGAACTTGTCGGCTTTGGCGCGCCGCAGACAGGGCAGTTCATCCTGCGCGCAAACACATTCCTTCTGTGATTGACGCATGCCACCGTCGGACATTGCCAGTCAGCCGGGTAAATGCGAAGCTCCGTGCAACCATCATCTCGTCCTTCACGAGGCTCCCCAAAAGCCCTTCTGCGAATCTCCTCCCTTTGGCGAGGGTTAGGTGAGCGACTTGGAGATCGCGGCATCTGCTTGGCTCTGTGCCCATGACTCGAGCTGGCCTCCGTGCCATCGGCCGCTGCCTCAGCCGTGGCCTTGGGGCACGGCTTGGACTTGGCCGCCAGGTGCACCACGTTTGGGCCGTGCACGGGCTGTGCAACTTCTGAATCTTTTGTCTCGGCTTGGGCACGCTGTCTCTTGTAGTCTGAGTCCTCGGGCTTGTACTCTGGGTCCTCAGGGGCATCAGCCTTGCCTCTTTTCTTCCTCTTTTTCTTCTTGGAGTGATCAGCCACAGCCTCATAGCCTTCTTCGATACCGACCTCTGACTCCTTTTGTTGGGCCTTGTAGTCGTACTCCACGATCTCAGGCAGCGCCAAAGACCGAAAGAAGCGCCATGGCGTGTCACTTGAGACCACTGTGGGCCAAGTGATCTGAGCTTCTTTGGACTCATAGTACAAGGTCCACCCTCCGACGACCGGAACCTCTGTCTTCACCACACAATTCGCGACCATGCTCGGTGACGGAACAAAAATTTCAGGGCAGGCAGGCAGTGAAATCTCCAAGCCTTCATGTTCCCAAGCCGCACAACCCGAAGGCAAGAAACGCAACACGGATTCGTTGACCAGCTGTTTCAATTTGCTCACATGAGCGATGGCACAGATCCAAGAGGGCATGGCTTGCACATCACCGTACAACACGGCCAGAGGAAACCACGTAAGGTCATTCGCGGCTTTCATCAACTCAGCCTTAGGTGGCACCAAATCAGCACACCAAAGCGGTATGCCATCAGGATTCAGGGGAACACCGGCCTCCCCCCACCGACCTTTGCTCCGTGTTGAAGACCGACCTGATTTGGGACCAAACAACAAATCTCTCAACTGAGTCGTAGAGAGGGGGACGCCACCTTCAGAGGATACCTCTCCCTTAGGAAGGGTCGGCATCTCCAATCCGTCAATCCAAATCTCGGAGACCGTGCGTTCGGCCCTCAAAACATCAGCCAAATTCTGAATTGGCTCCACCGCAGGATCACGTTTCCACAACGCATCCAAGACCGACCTGTCAACCCGACGATCCGGCTGCTCATCCGACATCACCAGAAAGCGCAAGATGTCACGATCTGCGTCTCCAGCTTCTCTCAAGCGTCTTCGAAAAAGCACCATCAATGGATCACCGGACAATTCCCGAACACGATCCGGGTCAACCGTCGCTCCAATGTGCCCTGCAAGGAAACCAAAACCTGGCCCGTTGCTGAGCCCAGCCAAAAGACGCAACAACCTGCTGTAGCCAGCGACAATGCCATCACCAGCAGGGGCACGCAACAACGCCGAACCCCAGTCCATAACAGACCAACCGACCGACCCTGTCAGAGAGTGAACCAGCTAACTACCCACTCCCGAGCGCTCAGCAGAACAGTCTCCACCCCTGGTAGGTGGCTCGAGCCAGAAACTAATCTAATTTATTCTAAACGATAATTTAAATTATAAATCGAAACTAATATATTAATTATGGTTAAGGGTTAAAGGCGTAACGATTCTTTGTTTTTGAGTCTATACTATTGGGCGAAGCTTTTTACGGGCGTCGTAGTGATTGTGGTTGTTACTATGAAATGTTTAATGATTTGTTGAGTCATTTTGGGCGCTTTTCTGGGTTAAATCTATGTATTTTTATTGGATTTTGGATAACCATATTATACATTATTTGCTGATGTTGTTTTAATATATTTGATTTATATGGATGAATGTTGTTTTGGTTATTCCTTTTGTATATTTTTTTATGGGATGTTTTTCGGGATGAAGAAGGAACGCGATGACGTAGGAATTATATATTCCATGTTTGTAATGTAAAGTAGTGTTGGTAGAAAAAAAGTCTGTAGTACGAGGGGTTGGGTTTTCTCGTAATTATTATCTTGATATTTTGTATCTTTTAAATAAAAATAATTCCCTTATATTTTGATGGATTGTTGTGACCCTGCTGTGACCCTACTGTGACCTTGCCGTGACCCGGCCGTGACGATTTTTCCACAAGTAAATTACGGTTATAATTATTTTTAAGATATTTTTAATTTATAA